ACAGTCTGTTCTGCAGCCAGTGATTAAAGTGATCCTGTCAAGTGTAACTCATGTCTTCTTCGGTGGCTTCCCTTTGTCCTCAGTGTAAAACCCTCAGCCTCTCCTCACCCCCCCTCTGCCAGCTGGTCCCTGCACCAGTCCCACTGGCCTCTTTCATGCTTAGCTCTTTGCCGTGTTTCCTCCTTCCCATCTACTTGTTTCTCTCTCTACATTAAGCTGCTTATCTCAATTTTTTTTTACCTGATTTATCTCCTGCTCATTCCTCAATGGGCAGCTTGGAAGTCACTCCCACACCATAGCCTTTCTGTATTCCGCTCTATAGCAGGCAAATTTCCCCTTATTGCCAATTAATAAACACTTTATTCTCTTTATATCACGTATCACAATTAAAGTTGGACATCTGTTTGTGTGATGACTTCTCTTTTTAAATAAAAATATTTGAAACAATTTCAAGCCCACAGAAAAGATGCAGAAATAATACAAATAACTCTAGTATCCCTTCATCCAGATTCCCTCTTAACATTTTACCATATTTACTTTATCATTCTCTATCTTCCTCCCTCTGGCGGTTTGGGGATAAGCTGAGAGTAATGATGCCCTATTACCCCTAAACACTTCAGTGTATGTTTCCTGAGATAAAGAATCCTTCCACATACCTACAGTAAAACCATCTACATCAGGAAATTGATATAAAGTCAATACTACCATCTACTTCCCATTCAAATGCTGTCAGTTGTCCTGACAAACTGGCATTGGTGTATATGTGTGTGCATACCTCCAGGACCCAACCCAGGATCATGTGTTGCATCTTGTTGTCATTTCTCTTTGTTTTCTTTCCAACTGTAGTACTTTCTCAGTCTTCTATCTTTCATGTCTTTTAGTTATGAAGAATATACGGCTTTTATTTTGCAGAATATTCCTCAATTTATATTTGCCTAATGTTTCTTTGTGATTAGGTTCACCTTAGGCATTGTTGGCAGAAATGCCACAGAAAATATGAGAAATAGTGAAAGGGACTATAAGGGAAAGAGGGGAAACTGAGTGGGGAAAATTAGAGAGGGAGACCAACCATGAGAGACTCCCAACTCTGGGAAACAAACAAAGGGTAGTGGAAGGGGACATGGGCGGGGGGTGGGGTAAGTGGGGGACGGGCACTGAGTGGGGCACCTGATGGGATGAGCACTGGGGGTTACACTGTATGTTGGCAAATTGGATTTAAATAAAATGATTAATTAATTAAAAAAAGAAATGCCATGGCAGCAATCCTGAGCCCTTAGAGGGTTATCAGGAAGCACACGATGTGAATTTTTACTATTATGGCGATAGTAACTTTGACCATTTGATGCTCTGCTTTTCCGTTTTCCCAATGGTAAAATTTACTATTTTTCAGGATGCCCGGGGTGGGGTGGGGGGAGTAGCTCTCGGCGGTGGGGCATTTGCCTCCGGCCCAGGGTGTGACCCTGGGGTCTCAGGATCAAGTCCCACTTCAGGTTCCCCGCAGGGAGCCTGCTTCTCATTCTTCCTGTGTCTGTGCCTCTCTCTCTGTCTCTCATGAATAAATAAAATCTTTTTAAAAATTTACTATTTTTCTCTTTGTAATTAATAAGTATTTTGTAGGAGACACTTGAGGGCATGTAAATACCTGAATTCTCGTCAAATCTTCACCCACTATTCACGCACTAGTTTTAGTATCCATTTACCATCCTTGTGTGGATTAATTATGATGGTTGCAAAACCGTGATGTTTCTAACACGATCATTTCTTCTGCGCTTACTAGTTGCCACTCTATATTAAAGAAGGGAGAGAATCAGGAAAAACAGTCAACGCATACTAAGGCCTGGGCCTACAGACCCCTTACCTGACCAATGTCTCTAATTTCCCCAAGTTTGGTAAGGCCTGAGTCCTCTGTAGATAGTAGAGCAGAAGTAAGAGCCCCACCCGGACAGAAAGTAGGAGGGAGAATCAAGTCCTTAGGGAGATGAGCTTGCGCTCAGCCATGGCACCCTGTCTCCTCAGGAAAAGGAGATGACACTGTTGTCTTACTCTGGCAACTACAAATGTGCGCCCTAGACTAGAACCCCCGGCCAGCATCATAGTTCCTAGGTGGTGAAAGAGGGAACAAAGAGGAAGTTGAAGCCCCAGCCCCTCCCCTACCATCTGGCCTAGCAAATCCCTCCCCTCTTCTCTGGGTCTGTCTTGTTCCATTCCTACTCTTCCATTGTATCACAGGAAAATCCTAGTGCAACTTTCTGTCTGTTCCACCTTTAACCAACACATTAGTTGGGTCAACCTTTACCTTCAGGAGAGCTCAGCTTGGATCCTACTAAAGCCATAGCTTTTAAAGGCTTTTAAAGTCTGAAATTCTTCAGGAAGTTATGCTAAATCTCAGGGATTTATACTCTTAGGGTCTCCTCTTGTCAATTGAAGTTTTCCCACCTAATGCCTTGCATGAAGTCAGCCAAAAGGATTGAATCCTTGAATCCTCAGCCAAAAGGATTCATTTTTACGAAAAAAGAATTAGTGAGCAATGTAGCTTTTACGAACGGTACGGACAATCTTTAAATGTCTCATGGTCTCTCAAACTGCTTGTCGTTTATATTGATCTTTTCTTCTAGGATTGACTTCCTAATTTCTATACATATGGCAGAAACGCCCATCTTATCCCTAGTCTCTTAGTCCAAGAACTCAGGAGAGAATTGACTAGAGGCTCTGAATCCCAATTACAAGTCCTGGGATATAATCTGATAGCCTGATCGTGGTCAAGTTTACCACTGGTTCCTTTAGCTGTAGCCAAAGGAGTGGAAACACTGTTCACTCAGCTGGCACTATGAGCAGATTCAGAGTAGGTTGGGAAAAAATCTTTTAAGGGGGAGTTATATGACACAAATCTCTAGTACTTGGGATGTTTTTTCATATAATAATATAAAGCATGCATGTTCTGAACTAATATCCAGTGTTCTAAAAATATATCATTTGTTCCAATTATAAAAACTATGTATATATTCACTCATTACAGAAATTATGGAAACTAGAGATTAACATAAAGAACAAAATTAAAATAAAAAGAAATCCCACCATTTAGTGATAACCTCTGTTAATGTTGGTTGCATGTTCTTTGGTTTTTCTATCCCTTTGTACACATTTTAGAAATAAAAGCGTAAATATACTGTACATATTAACTTTATGCTAACTTCATCATTTAGCAACTAATCATTTTGTTTCTTGTATATTTCTTTTACATGAGGATATACGGGGTGTATATACGGGGCGTATGTATGTGGTCCCAGCACCATTTGGTAAAAAATATTCTTTCCCCATTTCTCCTTGTTCTTCCTAAGAAAGTAATTTTATTGAAAGTATTTCTGGTAATAAGGTTTTAATTTTTATTCAAATCTATAGTTTATTACTTTCATCCCATTTAGATTTTGTGTAATGCTTGGAAAAGCTTTCTGTACCTTAAGGATAATAAGGGACTCCTGGGTGGTTCAGCGGTTGAACGTTTGCCTTCAGCTCAGGGCATGATCCTAGGTCTGGGGATCGAGTCCTGCATCAGGTTCCCTGCTGGGGAGCCTGTTTCTCCCTCTGCCTATATCTCTGCCTCTCTCTGTGTATATCTCTCATGAATAAATAAATAAAATCTTTAAAAAAATTTATTTTAGAGAGAGAGCGAGAGCACACGTGTGAGTTGGGGGAGGAGCGGGGGAGAAGGAGAGAGAGTCTCAAGGAGACTCCACGCTGAGCATGCCTGACGCTGGGCTCAATCCCATGACCCTGAGATCACAAATCAGAGCTGAAATCAAGAGTCAGATACTTAACCAACTGAGCCACCCCAAGGGGTAAAAATTTAATATATCGTTTAAAGATTTATTTATTTAGTTGAGAGCATACGTGTGCATGCACAAGCAGGGGCAGGAGCAGCAGGAGACAATCTCAAGCAGATGACCCTGAGATCATGGCCTGAGCTGAAAGGTCGCTTAACTGACTGAGCCACATAGGCTCCCCTAAAATTTTAAGCTTCCAGAAATTGTTGCCAAATTACCTTCTTAAAGGCAGCCCCAGTGGCTCAGAGGTTTAGCACTGCCTTAGGCCCAGGGTGTGGTCCTGGAGTCCAGGGATCGAGTCCCACATCGGGCTCCCTGCATGGAGCCTGCTTCTCCCTCTGCCTGTGTCTCTGCCTCTCCCTCTCTGTGTCCCTCTCATGAATAAATAAATCAAATCTTTAGAAAAAAAATTACCTTCTTAAAGATTTGTATTAACTTACACCCTTGTAGTTTTTCTCTCATCTATCAACATGAAGTATTTTTATTTTTCAAAATTGGGCTTTTTTGATACCCTGGTAAGTGAAAATGATACCTTAGTATTTAAATTCCTACTTCTTTGACCCCTGATAAGGTCAAACATTCTCCATGTATTTGTTAGGTTATCTGTAATTCCTTTTTTTTTTTTTTATTTTTTTTTATTTACTTAGGATAGTCACAGAGAGAGAGAGAGACAGAGACACAGGCAGAGGGAGAAGCAGGCTCCATGCACCGGGAGCCCGACGTGGGATTTGATCCCGGGTCTCCAGGATCGCGCCCTGGGCCAAAGGCAGGCGCCAAACCGCTGCGCCACCCAGGGATCCCGGTTATCTGTAATTCCTGTTCATGATTTGTGTCTCTTGTTTTAAGGGAAGACTTACTCATGGTGTTCTAATTAAAGTGTATGAGCTTTTTATATATTCTCTGGATTAAAGATGTTAACCATATCAGCCCTTCGTTGTCACCCCGCCCTCCCTGTTCTAAGTCCTGACTCACAGGTGATCACTCATAGACAGACCTCAGCCGGTCAGTACCCTCCCATCCTGGTGCCACTTGCCAAGCAAAACCTCAATTCTGGGTCAACCCATTTGGCCCCCTTCTCTCCTCGACCACCCACTACCGAGTTCTGCTAGACTAAAATTACTTTTTGTGGGGATTGCTGCCACCACGAGCCCACTGTTCTCAACCTCTATATAATACTACTCCATCTCTCAAATTGGCTTCCCCCCATATTCCCAAACAATTGTCCAGATGTTTTCTCCTCCCCTTCTTTCAAATCCTACCATCCACTTTTTTTCTCTTTCAAGAGAAGACCTTGTCTTCGAATTCACGGAGAAATCTGTCCTTGGGTCTGGATCTCCCTCAGTTTCCTTTTCTGTGCCCCCACCAATTTGTCAGCACATCTTATTGGCTTCTCCACAGAGGAAGGAGCCACAAGATCCCTCTTCTCCCATCATTAGCTGTGGAGCCCAGCCTCTGAGTCTCCTCAGTGAGCCTGCCTGGTCAATCCTTTCCCCTGGTGTTGGTATCTCTCCCAGCTCGGAGCCCCTGTTCCAGATCATCTCTTCCCTCCTCTACTCGACTTTTCCCCATCCTTACTCCCCACTCCGAGGTCTCTAGATTATCTTACCTTCTTCCTACCTGACAGGTACTCTGTCTTCTGCCATTCTGCAACTAAATTGTGGCCAAAATTGTATTAAAATGGTAAAATCAGAATAAAAGTCACAACTAATCTGGAAGAATCACACTGCTCTTTTGGTTTTCAGATGGCGCCATCAGAAGACTCTACATTATCCAACACTTTCTATGAGTCACCTCAGCATTATATGAAGTGGTATTTTTTACAGAATAACTCAGTGGGGTGGACGACATGACACACGTAGGCACTCGACAGATGGGGCTCTAACTCCAGTAAACAAAATCTTTAACTGGGTAAGTTTGAAAGACTTTCCTTTCTTTTTTCTTTAATTCTTTCTCTTTCTTTCTTTTTTTTCTCTTTCTTTCTTTCTTTCTTTCTTTCTTTCTTTCTTTCTTCTTTCTTTCTTTTTAAAATTTATTCATGAGAGACACAGAGAGCGAGGCAGAGACACAGGCAGAGGGAGAAGCAGGCTCCATGCAGGGAACCTAATGCAGGACTCCATCCCAGGACCCAGGGATCATGACCTGAGCCAAAGGCAGACACTCAACCACTGAGCCACCCAGTCATCCCCTTTATGTTCTTTCTTCACTTGGCACCCTGGGTAAGTGCTCTGAAGGATGAGGTTGGAAAACCCCGGAGAGAAGCGGCAGGTAATGGGTCAAAGCTGGACACAGGGAATGGTTTGAATGATACATCATATGGTCACTATGGTCAAAGCAAATGCAGCAAAAGTACATCCATGAATACACAATATGTATCACCAATGTCAGGTGGGAGAGCAGGAAAAAGTTAAGATCTGAGACACATTAACATGCAATTAGAAACACTCCTACCAAAACTTTATTATTTTCATACTTTTATAATGATTTCTCTGGTTGTACAGTTGTGGTTACTCTCAACATTGTTTTGCCAGGCAACTTTAGTCTAAGCCAGCATGTCTTTTGGGGGAGGTGAGGACGAGGGCATGTTACCTCCCAGCCTGAGAAAGGGACAGCAGGTCAGAAGCTAGTTATAATACAGCAAAAACTGCTCCGAGTCACTCCAGTGTCTCCCTGTGGGCATGGACTGTTGAGAACCTTAAAAGTCGTGCCCTCTGACTGTATAATTAATATCTACTGACTGCATGGGATTTTACTAAATGCAAGGGAAGCATACATGGAGATGACTGGTTTAACTCTAGGACAGGGGATCTGGGAGCTTCACACAAGAGCTGAGCTAAAGCCTGAAAAGGCAGGCGAGAAGGTGCGAGGTGTTCCAGGCAGAGGGAACAGCCTGTGTAAAGGCACAGTGGATGTAAAAGGGCTCAGGTGCCCGAGGACCCAGAGACGCTCCACCTGGCCCCAGGGTTAAGGTGGGCTAATGTGAGTGACACCAAACTGAAAGAAAGAAGCAGCCCTAAAATCTCCCTCCACCTGAAGCATCTTCACTTCTAGTAAGAGATCTAGTGTCTTGGTTTGGATCATATTACACTGCCCATACGCAGCTGTCTTTGTCTTACTAAAATGACCAACACATATGATTGAGCTAATAACTAGTCTATTTGCACTCTCCTTGGGCATCGTCTCCAGCTACGGGATTCATACTGTCACCTTCCCAGACTTCATGTTGATGTGCCTCATTATCTTCGAGATGGCAGGATGGAATTATTAGACAGACACACATCATTCTCGTAATACTTTCCTTCTTTGTGTTTCAGAGGGGAGCTGATCCTTTGGTCTTCATGTTCATGTCGGAGACAGAGGAAACCAAGAACGTCCATCCTTTGCCCTGACCATATATAGGACATACGCAAGGAGACTGCAGTCAGTGTCCTTGGTGGTGGAGGAGAGCTTTGGAGACATAACTGGAAGGTTATAAAATTGCCCTCAAGACCATCAGAGCGAGGAGGTAAATTCATTAATCTCATAAACCCTCCTGAGCACCTACCGTGTGCCAAGCATGGTTCTCAGTTTGCCCAGTGTGCTTCTTGCTGAGTGCCTACTTCTGCCTCATCCCAGTTAGCTCTCTGCCACCCACGGAGTTCCTTTACCTATGAGCCCTACAAGGGAGAGGGTTATGACTTTTTATACATGAGGACACTACAGGGAGGGAAATTGAGTTAATCGCCCGATGCTCCAAAAGGCAAGAAAGCAGGATTATAAACCAGGGCATCCTGCCCAAGAGCCCCCTCTGTACTGCAAGGTGCTTCCTTTCACACACTCTGCAGCCGGCTGGTCCAAAATCAGAACTGGTGTGAAGGGGAAATTCCTGGCCTTAGCAGTTTTCAGAGGAAAAAAATACCCTGCTTGGTTTCATGGTGTTTTCTGTTGCTTACATCCATATCCCTGTGTTGACATATTTTGCCCAATTTTCCTTTGTGTTTTCTCCTCTTATCAGTCCTGGGAAGGCTTTCTGAGGAAGCCCAGGCCAATAGCACACACGGCTTCCTGTGACCCTAACAGGCTCCTGACCCCTGGCAAGGGAGCAGCAAATTTCCCTGTTTCCTGGAAGAGAGTCCAGGTTGGACCATTTGGGGAGCAGAAGGGGGGCACCCAGCAGTGACAGGCGCAACAGGCAGCCTGCAGATAGCAGCTGTCAGAGTCTCTCTGCCCACCTGACACTCACCTGGCCGACCCGACGCCCCCAGGTGAGAGCTCTGAGTGGGAGCACGGGGATCCCCGACAGAGGCTGTGACCAGGGAGGGCACACTGCCTGTCCCCCCCACCCACTGTGCCCACACTGAGGGGCCTGCTGCTCCCTGCAAGTCCTGCTCAAGCCCTCCCCCTTGCAGGGCCTACCGCTCCACCTTGCAGGGCCCTCCCACTCCCAGTTCTGGAAGGAAATGCAGAGTTCCTTTCCTCTGCCCACACCGGGGCTCCCCCCAGTCATTCCCAAGGGCTCCTGCAGCTGGAGAGGAAGACAACCCTTGCCCACCACTTGGTATAAGGCACTGGGCCCCCTCCTAGGGCCAAAGTTCCAGGCCTTCCTCGGGGGCTTTGGCAACAATGCTTGTTCACAGTTGATGAGAGCGGCATCGTTTTCTAGCTTAAATTCAAGACAAGAAACTGCTTTGATCTTTTCTCTGAGCTTCGTGGTTACCGAGGCTCCCCCAAAAGAGCATGTGATACTGCCTTGCTTCAGCCAGTTTTATTTTATTTATTTTATTTTATTAAAGAGTTTATTTCTTTATTCATGAAAGACACAGAGAGAGAGGGGCAGAGACACAGGCAGAGGGAGAAGCAGGCTCCATGCAGGGAGCCCGATGCGGGACTCGATCCCAAGACCCTGGGATCATGCCGTGAACCAAAGGCAGATGCTCAACCACTGAGCCACCCAGGTGCCCCAGCCAGTTTTCTTTTAAAATAGACTTTTAGGGGTACCTGAGGGGCTCTTAGTTAGTGTCTGTCTTCGACTCAAGTCATGATCCCGGGGTCCTGGGATCAAGCCCCACATCCAGCTCCCCGTTCAATGGGGAGTCTGCTTCTCCCTCTCCCACTCCCCCTGCTTGTGCTCTCTCTCTCTCTCTCTCTCTCTCTCGGTCAAATAAATAAATTTTTTTAAAAAAATAAAACAAAACAGCGTTTTACTTAAAAAATGGATTCTAAGGGCACCTGGCTGGCTCAATCAGCAGAGCATGGGACTCTTGATCTTGGTTCATGAGGGGGTGTCCCACGTTGCAGGTAGACTTTACTTAATTAAAAAAAAATTAATGGAACTCAAAGTGAAATCATCACAACTACCCATGATTCATGTTAGTCAGTGGTTGGCGATGTCTTTGTAGCAATCATCACCCTCAGAAATTCTGTTGACATGAGAAATTTTGTATTTATTTTCATTCACTTACTTTGAGGGAGAGGGGCAGAGGGACATGGGGCGGCAGAGAGAGAATCCCAAGGCGGCTCCATGCCCAGTGTAGAGCCCGACTCAGGGCTCCACCTCACAGCCTTGAGACCATGACCTGAGCCCCAGTCAAGAGCAGGATGCTGAGCAACCCAGGGACCCAGACCTGAGAGATCTTAATCCCTACGTGATTTACCGAACAATGGACCGTTAACGAGGTGGCATATATTTTGTAATCATTTATTTCATTTTTAAAAAAGATGTATTGATTCATTTTGGAGAGAGAGAGAGCACGTGAGCAGCGGGAGGGGCAGGCGCCCCTGCTGAGCTCCCACCCCCTCTCCCTAGGGCTCCACCTCTGGAGCCTGAGATCAGGACCTGAGCCCAAACCAGCAGGCAGACGCCTAACTGACTGAGCCACCCAGGCCTCCCTGCAGTCGCTTATCTCAGAAAGGTCCTATTCGGCCATTTGTGTCAAAATCCTGGAGTGAACACACCTTTACTGCCTCAGCATCTCCATAGACACTGACAAGCCCTCAGGCCCCAGGAAGCGCGGCTCCTGCCAAGTGTCCTGTTGTCCTTGTCTCCTGCAGTGAAGACAGAGGAAAGGGAAAGGCCTTCCTGGCTCCCCGGAGACCCGCCTGCGTGCGTTCACCCCTTCGATGTGTCTGAAACAAGCCTCTTACACTTCAGGAGCTAAATGCGGTGTGCTGGGGACCGCTGGGGACCACGGTGCCCCGGGGTCACCTTTGCCCCTTTCTGCCTCCCTGAGTCAGAGACTTTGCTCTTGAAGCGCAGCCGGCAGCCCGAACCTTCTCTGCAAAGCCAGTTGCACGCACTCTCCTAGCTCCTTGGGCGTCTAACTGGGTCCTAAGAGTTACGTGAGCAGTTCTAGGTCTCCCGGGAGGGGACAGATGTCTTCAAAGAGCTTGACACCCGTTCTAGTTGCACACCCGCTCCCCTAAGAGGCTGGGCGGCCTGGGCCCTCGAGGCAGCCGCCACTCCCCGGAGCTCTGCGCTGGCAGGGCCGCAGCAGCCCTCGCCTCTGCCTTTCCAGAAGGCTCTCTCAGCGGGGACGGCCTTTCTGGGGCAGCCAGCCGGCCGGGCCATAGGCTGTGCCAGACGGCAGCCCGCGCACGCCCACGCCCACGCCCACGCGCACACCCAGAGTCTGAGGGGCGAGGGTAAAGGGTGTCGTTATTCTACAAGAAAGGCAATGTCGGTCCGGGGGTGGTTTCCTGGCCTCCGGCCTCACTAAGCAGCAAGGGAGTTTGGGGGGTCCGGGGCAGTGAGGCTGGGGCCCAGAAGGCCGGCCGTTGCGGCCTGGCGGGTGTATGTGGAAATGGAGACCCTGCCCCTTTGCACAGATTTGCAAATGACGGTCTGTTTTCCTGGACACCTTTTGCCTGAGTCACTGTCCAGGGACGGGACCCTGTCACCTGGGTGGGTCCACTCTCATGTGGCCCTACATCAGCATTTCTCAGTCAGAGGCATGTGAAAGCACCGAGATGTGTCAAGTCACGGGGAGATGCAGCAATTTCTTACTTAACAAGTAAGACTGCGTCCAGGCTCCCTTCAAAAATACATTGAGAAGGGATCCCTGGGTGGCGCAGCGGTTTGGCGCCTGCCTTTGGCCCAGGGCGCGATCCTGGGGACCCGGGATCGAATCCCACGTCCGGCTCCCGGTGCATGGAGCCTGCTTCTCCCTCTGCCTGTGTCTCTGCCTCTCTCTCTCTCTCTGTGTGACTATCATAAATAAATAAAAAATTAAAAAAAATTAAAAAAAATACATTGAGAGAAAAAAAAAAACACTTTGGTGCTCTTGTCCAGCAACCCAAGATGTTGAAAGAAGAGAAAGAGGAAGAAGGTAGCCCTGGCCCCTGCTGCTGTGAAGGAGCAGGAGACCAAGAAGATGGTTAGTCCCCTGTTTGAGAAAAGGCCCAAGAATTTTGGCATCATACAGAACATCCAGCCCCAAAGGAGCGTCACCCACTTTGTCAAATGGCCCTGACACATCCAGCTGCAGTGGCAAAGGGCTATTCTCTATAAATGTCTGAAAGTGCCTCCCGGGCCTGACCGGTTCACCCAGGCCTTGGACCCCCAAACAGCTATTCCACTGCCTAAGCCGGCCTGCACGTACGGGCCAGTGACGAAGCAAGAGAAGAGCTTGTTAGCCCAGGCTGAGAAGAAAGCTGAGGGCAAAGGTGATTTCCCCACTCTGGGGACGCCTGTCCCTAGATCTGGGGTTAACACTGTCACTACGTTGGTGGAAAACAAGAGAGCTCGGGCGGCAGTGATTGCACATGCTGCGGCTCCCCTGAGCTGGTTGTCTTCCTGCCTGCCCTGTGTAGGAAGATGGGGGTTCCCTGCTGGATTATCAAGGGACAGCCAGGCTGGGGCGTCTGGTCAGAGGAAGAGCTGCACCACTGTTGCCTTCACACACACGTTAACTCGGAAGACAAAGGAGTCCAGCAAAGTTGGTGGAAACCATCAGGACCAATGACAATGACAGATGCCCTGGGTCTGAAGTCGGTGGCTCTCATTGCCAAGCTGGAAAAGGTAAAGGCTAAAGAACTGCTCACCAAACTGGGCTAATTGGATGCTGTTGAATTTTCTGTACATAAAAGTAATAAAGTTCACTTTCAGCCAGTGTCAATTGGCAAAAAAGCAAACACAAACAAAAACTTTGGAAAGGAGTTGAGATCACCTATGACCTTTCTATAGGTCGCTTGCATTCCAATAGAGGTTTTATTATTTTTTTTAAGATGTATTGATCTAGGGGATCCCTGGGTGGCTCAGCGGTTTAGCACCGCCTTCAGCCCAGGGCGTGATCCTGGAGACCCGGGATTGACTCTCAGGTCGGGTTCCCTGCATGGAGCCTGCTGCTCCCTCTGCCTGTATCTCTGCTTCTCTCTGTGTGTGTCTCTCATGGATAAATAAATAAAATCTTAAAAAAAAAGATTTATTGATCTATTTTAGAAGATAGAGTGTGTGTGAATGGAGGGAGGGGGAGTGGGAGAGAGAGAGGGAGTCTCAAGCAGGCTGAGCTGAACATGGGGCTTGATCCCAGGACCTGTGAGATCATGACCTCAGCTGAAACCAAGAGCCAGATGCTTAACCAACTGAGCCACCCAGGCGCCCCAGAAGCCAAGAGATCTTATATGTGACTGAGTAGAATGGCTCTTTGGAGGGGATAGTTGGGAAATTAGAATCTGAGAATCACAAAAATTATTATTCAAGGTCCCTGGTCAGTGGCAATAAGAGTAAGGCTCTTGTATGAATACTGCCTTATCATTTACTAGGTGCTTTCAGATAGTTTCCCACGTGCTTTTTGACAACCACCCAGTGGGGGAAACAAGCCAGATGTTCTCTCCGAGGAGGAAGTTAGCCCACTGACCTGGTCAGGAGCTCCTGCCATCCTGTAAAGCATCCAATAGGGGGCGCCCGGGGGCGCGTTGAGCGGCTGCCTTCGGCTCAGGTCTGGCCGGCCCCGCCCATCCTCCCAGGCCCTTCTCCCTCTGATGTCTGCTCAGCGGGGAGTCTGCTTCTCCCTCTCCTTCTGCCTTTTGCCTCCTGTTGGTGGTCTTTCTCCCATGAGCTCTCTCAAATAAATTTTTAAAATCTTAAAACAAAAACAAAACCAGCCAATAGTTGTCCCGCTTCATTCCACACTTCCTCCCAGTGGGCAAGACCCATTCATTGCCCAGTTCATTGCCTGTCCAGGGAATGGCCAAAGCTAGCAATCTAAGAAGAGCCACCCAGCTCTGAGTGCCTTCCTATGACCTTCCCCTTGGAGGACTTTGTATTATCGAAGGAGATACGCTCGATCAGCTGATATCCTCAGATACTGTGGACCTTGGACCAGGTGCCCTTACAGTTTTATAGTTTTGATTTAATAAGGCAACCCTCCCCCTCTCCTTCTCAAACTTGTCCTTTTATTTTTAAAAAGATTTTAATTAATTTATTTATGGGGGATGGAGCAAGGGAGAAGCAGAGGGAGAGGGACAAGCAGATGCCATGCTGAGTGTGGAGCCAGATGCAGGGTTGGATCCTACAGTCATGATCTAAACCAAAATCAAGGATCAGATGCTCAACTGACTGAGCCACCCAGGCACCCCCAGATTTGTTCTTTTAAATCACTAGTTCTGGGACGCCTGGGTGGCTCAACGGTTGAGCCTCTGCCTTTGGCTCAGGGCGTGATCTGGGGTCTGGGATCGAGTCCCACATCGGGCTCCTTGTAGGGAGGCTGTTTCTCTCTCTGCTTACGTCTCTGCCTGTCTCTGTGTGTCTCTCATGAA